TTCCTCCTTTCCCAAATAGCTGCCATGTCATCCCAAGGGGCCTGAGAGGCTTTCTTTGTGTAGGAAAATCTGAAAAAATTAAATTTAAAAGTCATTATGGCCAGGGTAAGGTTAATAAGAAAATCCTAAACCAGATTTATCGGCGAAGGCCTTCTTTGTGAACCTTTATTAAACTTGCATGATTAGAATAGATTCTTCGTCTAAACTTCACTCAGAAGTCTGCAAGGGAATGGATGCAGAGCACGCCGCGCTGCTCCTCAGAAGGACGATAGCGAGTGGGGAAGCGTCAGACAGGCCCTCGCTAAAACGGCAGACAACACCAGGACCCACCTGGCCATGTAAGCAAAGACAGACAATACAGAGGGTGTGAGGGGCCACGAAATCCAAGGGGCCGGGAGCATTAGGCATGGCTGCTCCACCAGGAGGGTGCCCTCCTGCCCCCACCACTGAAAGAGCCTTGCCCCTGCCGCCTGCAAGGGTGCTGGCCCCACCTTCTGCCTCTGCTGGCTCCAAAGCTCAGGCATCTCTGCAGCTTGCCAGGATCAGGCCCTCTCCACCTCTCCTCTGAACCACAGACATCCAGCTGCACCTGCCTGGCAAGTCCTAGGTCACCCGCCTGTCACCTGGTTGTGGCTGTAGAGGAGGCCGGGAAAGTGGATTTCTGGAAAATAAGGAAGGGAATTCAGAAGGTACAGGGGAGCCAGGAAGCCTCACCGGTGGCCACTATGCTGACCCTGGCAACTTGAATAAAAAGAGAGTGGCTCATTTCACAAGTGCTCAAAAGTCTTGGAAAATCTCCCTTCAGGCGTGGCTGCATCTAGGCTCCACTAGCTCACCGTGACGCTCCCCTGGGCCATGCTTCCTCCAGCCAGTTTTGTTCTCAGGCTGCGAATGGCAGCTCCCACCAACCCGACACCTTCAGATTCATGTGGTTACCATGTCCAGGCCAGACGCAGGGACCACCAGAACTGACCGCTAATTGGCTGACTTAGGTCATTAGCCTATTTCAAACCAGTTATTGAGGCGGGGTCCTCAGGGTTGGAAAACAAGGATCTGAACCATTTTCAGTGAAGGACCAGATAGTATTTTCATCTGTGGTCAGGCTGTCTCTGTTACCGTGACTCAAAGCCACTGTTGGGGCAGGAAAACAGCCACGGGCTATGTGTAAATGAATGGGGCGTGGCTGGGTGTCAATAAAACTTTATTTATAAAAATAGGCTTCCAGCCAGCACCTCACTAGACCAAGCTGACCAGAGCCCTTCATCCCACCAAACCCTTAAGGAAACTTGGGGTGACATGGCCACAGGACCAGAGCGGCGTGATCCTGGTCAACCCTCCCTCAGAATCCTGAAGGCCAGAAGCTACCGAGGGCTGCCACGTGGCTCCTGGGGGAGGCCAGAGGTTTTCACTCAAGAAAGGAGAAGTGACCCCAAGATTCAGGCAGGCTGCTTTGGGGCAAGGCAGTGTCCCCAGCAGAGGGAATGGCCCAGGGCCAGGTGTCAGACACCAGCAGTGTGTGCTGCGGAGCCTGGCCAGAGCAGTGTCTGTGCATTCATGGCATCTCTGGAGAGGGCTCAGGGTCCTGGCGCCCAGCACATTTTGCAAACTCAGATCCCCGGGGTCAGGGGGATCTCGCAGGGGAGCTCACTGGCCTTGAGTCCTCCACCAGCCACTGCAGGGGTCACCTGCCTGCCTCACTGACGATGGGGTGGGACACCCTCCTCCCTGCTCCAGGCCTGCAAAGCTCCCCCCGCCCTGAGGCCCTCCTGCCACCACCTCTGCTTGGAGATGGTCCCAGCATCGAGTGTGTAATGTGGCCCAGCTGCCATCTTCCCTGAGGACACCAGGGGGACTGTCAGCTCCACCTCACAGCTCTGCCCACCCCCAGGCCCCCCAGGCACCAGGTCAGCCCCTAGACTCACAGTAGCACAGCCCTGGCTGAGGAGGGCTGCCCCCTCCCGCCTAGTCCCTGGCCCTCCTGGAACTTATTCACAGGCCTCAGCGAAGCTCCCTTGAATGTCCCCCCGCAGTGGTCCTCTGCCTGGGACCTGGCCGCCCAGGACCCCACGTGGCCACAGCCCCAGCAAGGGCTGTCCTCTTGCACCCAAGGACCGCAGGGCTGAGATCAGGCACGCAGCTCCCTGCCAGGCGTGTTCTCACCCCTAGAACACATGGATCTCCAACCATGGCCTGAGTCGCCCCTGCCATCCCCCAGCAGGCACTGTCTCCCATGCCATGATGCTGTGCAATTCAGAGCCCAGTGCATCCCATGGCGATGCCAGCTCCCTGTCCTGCTGGGGGACGATCTGACACCTGGGCGACTCAAAACATGTGTGATGAAGGGACGACAGAGTGAGCCCCGAAGCTCCCTCCTCTACAGCCAGGTCAGCCTCTCCAGGACTCCCCGGGTACCCAGCTGCAGGCTCCGGGCTCCGGCCACCTGGCTCAGGAGCAGAGACAGCTAGGAGATTCCAACCGACACTGGACATTGGGAGCGGTGGGGGCGGCAGCTGTCCGCTCTGGAGTTTAACAAAGACGGTTCCTCCCAATCCTGAGATGAGATCTTCTATGGCTAAGTGTGGCCGTCGTGTGAGGAAAGGATCCTGCTCCCCAGACATGGCTGAGATCCCACTTTGGGTAAATCCACAATTTTTCTTCCTAACAAGGTGATTGTATCGGGATGTGAGTGCTTGCACCTGCAGGTGACAGGCGGGACCCTTCCTCCCAGACCCAGAGCTGGGCCGGGCCGTGGGGCTTTCAGCCCCGCTTAGAGCCCCAGGTCAAGAAGCCTGATTAAAGGACTTTCTCTGAGCTTTTGAAATAGAAACGACGCAGTGCTTGTCTGGGATTAAATTGGAATATTTTTCCATCCTTGACAAGGCAGCCCGTTGGTGTGGGCTCTGAATTCTTCTGTTGCATCTCCATCCTTTTTCGGAACGTTGACTTGGCTCCTGCCTGGAAAGGGGACCAGCATATTTCATTTTTGTGCATTTATATGAAGGCTATCACTCATTCCTTCATTCATTGATGAGAAGACAGGCCTTGGGCCAGCAGGGACAGTCGCCATCTGTATGTCCTCGGACCTTGTTCGCCTGACGTCTTTGTCCACTGGTCTGACGGGGCCTCCACACTCATGACAGAGGCGTGCTGAAGGGGCACTTGTGGGTTGGATGAATCTGCGTCATCTCACAGCCTCCTCTCACACCGGCACTGAGACTGGGCCCAGAACCGACGCCTCAGGGCCTCTGTGTGCTTCTCTATCCTTGCAGGACTCGCCTATGGCAGACACGGTCGGCTGGCTCCCCAGTGCCCGTTTCCCACCCCTTCTCCCTTTCCCACCTCACAAGGCTCCCTTCTTTGGGCTGGTGGTAGCCGTGGGACATTGTCCTGGCCAACGGAGCGTCGGCACAAGTCAGCTGGGGAGGGGCACCCCGGGAAGACTCTTACCGAACGGACAGCTGTGCTTCTCAGGCAGCCAGAGGGCCAGGCCAAGCTGCAGGGTCCTGACCACTGGAGGCGGGGGAAGGACAGAGCCCTGCCCTGATGGGCCTAGTCACCTGCAGCCCTGGAAGGTCAGGCTCCTGTGTTCAGGTTACCCCAGAGCAAGTTTCTGTTCGCTGCACCCGAGGGCTCCTCCCTGCCTCCTGGCTCAGGGCAGGTGCGAAGGTGGCCTGGGTAATGCCCCAGACACCCTGACGGCCTTGTTTTAACTTAGTCACCTCCTTAAAAGCCCTATCTCCAAATACAGTCATACTCGGAGGCCTTGGGGGTTTAGGGCTTCAACACGGAAATTCCAGGACACACTATTCAGCCCCTAACAGTGCCCCACACCAGGACACAGGGGCTTCCCACCCAGGGACACTCCCCTCCCAGTGGAAGGGGAGCAGAGCTGCCTGCAGATGTGCACAGCCCTGTCCTGACGCTCCAGCGCCCGTCCTGGGAGGAAGGGTACCTGATCACAGCACTGTCACATCACAGAGCACTGCTCAGCCATCTCAGCTGCATGTGGCAACACAAAGGAGTCCCACAGCCACAGTGCTGAGCAGAAGCCAGACACAAGTGCTGGAAGGTTCCACTCGTGGAAAGAACAAATCCAGATGAACTCATCTTTGATGCCAAAGTCAGCATGAGCTTATAAGTTTCCCACAACAAATCAGAAGTCAGCATGAGCTTATGAGGTTCCTGCAACAAATGGCCACAAACGGGGGCTTGAAACAACAGGAATTGATTCTGTCAGTCTGAAATCACCAGGGTCTTGCTCCCTCTAAAGACTCCAGGGAGAACCCTTCCTGCCTCTTCCAGGTTCTGCTGGCCACCCTGGTGTTCCTGGGCTTGTGGGGGCATCACTCCAGTCTCTGCCCCCATCTCCCATGGCCTCCCCCCTCTGAATGTGTCTGTGTCTTTTCTTTGCGAAATCCCCTCTGCCTCCTTCTTCTGAAGATGCACGTGGTAGCATTTAGCTCCCACCTGGATAATCCAGAAAAATCTCCCCGGCTCAGAATCCTTCCCTCCAGCACCTCTTCTTCCTATAAGGGGGCATTTCCAGTTCCAAGGATTGAGATGTGGCCATATCTTCGGGGCCACCATCCAGCCAGTACAGGTGGAAACTTTGGGACCTGGAAGGGGTCTGGGTCTGGGGTGGGGACTAGGAATGAAAAGAAGGACCCATTGTTGAAGCTGCTCCATCAGTGGTCCTCTGCCGCAGCTGCAAGGCTGACGCACCTGCCGGGCAGGTCTGCACGCCTGCTTCAGTGGGGCCCCGGCAGCCGTGCTACGAAGCGCACACTCCTGTGCACCCCCGAGCAGCCTGTCTTCTCTGATTCCTGATCTGGGTGCGGCTGACACAGTGTGTTCTGTCTGTGAACATTCGTTGAGCTGGGCTGACACGGTGTGTCCTGTTTGTGAACATTCATTGAGCTGCACACGTATGCTACGTGCACTTCTCTGTACATATTTACACTTAACGTGGGTTTGTAACATTCTTTCCATCCGTTTTGCAGTTTGCAGGGGAGGTCCCCGAAAACCGTGTGGAGACCGTGGTCGCAAACCTCACGGTGATGGACCGAGATCAGCCTCACTCTCCAAACTGGAACGCCGTTTACCGCATCATCAGTGGGGATCCCTCCGGGCACTTCAGCGTCCGCACAGACCCCGTCACCAATGAAGGCATGGTCACCGTGGTGAAGGTGCGTACTCTTCTCGCACCCTGCCAGGCACCCCAGGTTCTGCCACCTGCACACTCCCTGGGACAGTGAAACAGGAGTGATACTTGGTGTAAAGTTAGTGCCCCCCTAATATCCAAGTGCAGAGACAGGTAACCCAACCTGCTGGAGGCAGACACAACCTTCACAAGGACCTGTCATGTGACCTGCAGGGGCTTGGCAGACCCCCCCCCAGAATACCCTCCCATTCCTTTTTCAATGTCTATATATTTGTTGCCACCCCCTACTCTAGTAATGGGTGAATTTCATTATTAGAATTCCCAATGTTAAACCATCTTTGCATTCCTGAGGTAGATCCCACTGAGTAGTGAGGTAGTATTTTGTAACATGTTGAAGAATTTGTGTTGCTGATATTTGAAGTTTTTCGTGTCCTTTTCTGGGTGATTTAGGCTTACAGCATCCTCATCTGGGTTTTGCTATCAAGGTTACTGACTAATCTCAAGAGTATTTTTCTGTCCCAGAGACGGGTCATGTGATGCTGTAATAATCCGTCCCCTGAATGTTTGGTCACACTGTGCTGTGAAGACATTCAGTAGCTGCAGATTTTGTCTTTTTGGTGGTGCTTCTTTTTGTTTTGGAGAGAGATGGGTTTGTAACTGCTGGTTCAATTTCTTTGATGGTTTTGGTTAGATGTGTTTTTCTAGAAAAGTGTCCATTTAATCTACATGTTCAAATTTACTTATAAAGCCCTATCATTATAGTAGTGGTGATTAAGTCTTGTAACCTAACTGTTTTTCTACACTTATAATTCATATTCCCCTGGAAGGGCAGATTGGGAATTATATCGTAACACTTAGTGATCATTTACAACTTCGTGTGAAGGAGTTTAGCAGCTACTGTCCCAAAATAATTTTGAATAGGACTAAGAAGAAAAGAGCAAGAGTACACTGGGCATTTTTAGAGAAAAGGGCAGGGGGTAACAGAAGGGTGAGCTTAAAGCTGGATAGGATCTGCCGAAGCGTAAGGGAAAGCAAGTTTCATTTTGGGTTGGATCATTTAGAAACTTCCTTCAGCGGCCGGGAGCAGAGCTTAACCACAGAAGCTTAAATACTGGAGAGCTTTATTCTGTCACGTGAGAGGAGTCCTGAGGTGGGCAGTTGAGGCCGATGTCACAGCTGCACAATCAACAGAAACCCTGGCTCCTTCTATCCTCTGCTCTGCTGTGCACACCTTTCAGGGCCCCTCATGGTCCAAAATGGCTGCTAGAGCACCAGCCATTACAAGACTTTTACAGGTAGCAGGAAATCAAAAAGGCGGAAGAATGGCTTGCCCCTCCTTTATTGAAGGATCTTCTCAGAACACCTGTTCACATGTTATTGGGCAGAGTTTAGTCACATGACCATTCTTAGCCAGAGAAGACACTGCATAGCATAATTATGGGCACATCTCCCAAACTTCTCCTAAGGAAGAGGGGAGCTAGATGCTAGGGGATCACAGGGGAAGAAAATAGGCTCCTCCAGGATCTGTGTCTTTTCTCAACACCCCAAAGTCATCTTTTTCCTTTTCTTAATAACCCCTTTTCTAAGCAAGCTAGTGAAGACTAGTTCTCCTGAAAAATCTTATAAAATGTCTTCATCATTTTTATTTTATGAAATATTCAAATATACATACAAGCAGAAATAATAGTAAAATGAACTTCCGTATACCCATCACCTAGATTTAATTAACATTTTGTTACATTTACTAAATCTTTTTATTTTGACTGATATGTTTGAAAGTAAATTAACATGTCACAGCATTCCACCCCTAACTCTGTATAAGCCTTCTTCTTCAGGAGAGGCTATTTTTTCACCTTGAAAGATAGTTCTTAGAGAAGAGGCAAAATACACGTTTCACTTCCCCTCTAATTATGAATTTTCAGAGTGAGGCTTTAGCGCAATCGTTCCCCCAGTGGCAAAGTCAGATCTGTGTTCACAGGGACTGGGCATGGCGAGGAAAGATGTAGGAAACCCCTTCTCCTTTGACCTCGAGCTAGTATTCTAGCTCTGGCCCCTAGAAACCCACAAGGTGAATCGTCAGCCGGCAAAGTTGCTCATGGGAAGGTGACAGAGACTGGATATGACATGCAGGCAGAGGACAGGAGTGAGCTCTGAGCCCAGCGCTGGCTGGGGCCTTCTTCCCCAGTGAGCAGTGAGCCTCGGCCCGTCTCCTGCTTGTGATTCCAAAGAGGTGTCTCTGACTCCCACAGCTCGGATTCTGTGGCTTCCCAGGAACACAAAGGGCAGCCCTGAGCCCAAGGAGATCAGCACCTGTCTCACCTGCCCTGCCCCTGGAGGACCACTTCTGCAGCTGGAGCACACACAGCCCCACCACCTTCATCGGCGAACATAGATCAGAAAGGGCCGGTACCAAGGAAGAAGGCTGGCTCGATGTGGTGGGGAGAGCCTGACCCCTAAAGACTCCAGGGAAGGTGGCTTCCTGCCCAGCCCAGGGGCTGGTGGCCTCAGCCGTCATGCCCCTGCCTGGCCCTATCTGCGCAGAGCATCACAGCCACGGAAGGTGGAAGAGCACAGCCAACTGCAGGGAAGCCCCAGCATCCTGGGAGAGAATGGGCCTCGTGGCACTGGGCCAGGCCCTCGGCAGGCCCACGGAGCCCTCTTCTGTTCTTCAGAGAGGAGCCACTGGTTCCAAACGTACAGCAGAAACTAGTCTGTGGGGCATGGACTGAGGGTCCCAGGAGGGCCTGGGGGCCGCCACCCCAGGAACTAATTCTTGAGATGGAGAATCATCCCCTTCGGGTTCTTCCTCCAGCTGGGGATGCCTGAGAAGGCCACTGGGAGAATGACTCCCCCGGGGCTCAGCTGTTTGGCGGCCGTCTCCCCACAGCAGGAAGGCCCTGGCTGGCAAGTGGGTGGGGCATGAATTTTGGAGGGAGCAGAGGAGGTGCTGACGGCAGCCAGGTGGACACAGCCGGGCACATTCACTGACTTTCTGCCGTGTGACAGCTTGGCAGCAGGCCACCCTCCACTGAGTTTGTGCCACGTCCTGTCCCCAAGCCATTGGGGTCTCCTGCCCAGCTCCACCCTCCCCTTGTCAGGCCTCTGTCTACATAGTGAGAGTGGGGTTTCCCGAAGCGTGTCTGCAGAATGCTGGTTCTCAGGATGTTGATGAGCACTGCCTGCGAGCCACATGCACAGCTAAGATCTCCCTGTTGCCTGTGCTTCCTGCCCCCCACAGCCAGTCATCAATGGCACTGAGGCCATTGAGGGGCCTGTGAGAGGAAGATAAAACCTCAGGACCCCAAACCCACTATGCCAAAGGGAAGTGGAGCATGGGGACTGAGTCTCGCGGTGCTGCCTCCCTTCTGTGGCCACACAGGTAACTGGGGCTTCACACACCTACCCCAGCTTCTGTGAAATGCGGATCCACTGAGCGCAGAGCAGAGCCTGGCAAGGATGCAGCCACTGTCTCATTGCCGACCCAGACCCCGCTTTTTTTCCTTTCCTCCTTCCCCTCCTGTCTGCTCTTTCCTCTTTAAATATTGAAGTCCTCAAAACTCTCTTTGGGAAAAGCACAGGACACAGATCCCACTGGGACTTGCGCTTCTCCTTCCTGGGTGCGGGCTCAGCCTCGGTGGAATAACCCTGGAATCGATGGAGATCGGTGCAGGCTCAGCCTCGGCGGAATAACCCTGGAATCGACTCAGATCAGTGCGGGCTCAGCCTCGGTGGAATAACCCTGGATTAACTCAGATCAGTGCGGGCTCAGCCTCGGCGGAATAACCCTGGAATTGACGGAGATCGGTGCGGGCTCAGCCTCGGCGGAATAGCCCTGGATTAACTCAGATCAGTGCGGGCTCAGCCTCGGCGGAATAACCCTGGAATCGATGGAGATCGGTGCGGGCTCAGCCTTGGTTGGAATAACCCTGGATTAACTCAGATCAGTGCGGGCTCAGCCTCGGCGGAATAACCCTGGAATCGATGGAGATCGGTGCGGGCTCAGCCTTGGTTGGAATAACCCTGGATTAACTCAGATCAGTGTGGGCTCAGCCTTGGTGGAATAACCCTGGAATCAACAGAGATCGGTGCGGGCTCAGCCTCGGTGGAATAACCCTGGAATCGATGGAATCGACGGAGATCGGTGTGGGCTCAGCCTCGGTGGAATAACACTGGAATCGACGGAGATCGGTGTGGGCTCAGCCTCGGCGGAATAACCCTGGAATCGACGGAGATCGGTGCGGGCTCAGCCTCGGCGTAATAGCCCTGGATTAACTCAGATCAGTGCGGGCTCAGCTTCGGCGGAATAACCCTGGAATCGACGGAGATCGGTGCGGGCTCAGCCTCGGCTGGAATAACCCTGGAATCGACAGAGATCGGTGCGGGCTCAGCCTCGGCGGAATAACCCTGGAATCGATGGAATCGACAGAGATCGGTGCGGGCTCAGCCTCGGCGGAATAACCCTGGAATCGATGGAATCGACGGAGATCGGTGTGGGCTCAGCCTCGGCGGAATAACCCTGGAATCGATGGAGATCGGTGCGGGCTCAGCCTCGGCGGAATAACCCTGGAATCGACGGAGATCGGTGCGGGCTCAGCCTCGGCGGAATAACCCTGGAATCGATGGAGATCGGTGTGGGCTCAGCCTCGGCGGAATAGCCCTGGAATCGACGAAGATCAGTGCGGGCTCAGCCTCAGTGGAATAACCCTGGAATCGACAGAGATCGGTGCGGGCTCAGCCTCGGCAGAATAACCCTGGAATCGATGGAATCGATGGAGATCGGTGCGGGCTCAGCCTCGGCGGAATAACCCTGGAATCGAGGGAGATTGGTGCGGGCTCAGCCTCGGCGGAATAACCCTGGAATCGATGGAATCGACAGAGATCGGTGTGGGCTCAGCCTCGGCGGAATAGCCCTGGAATCGACGAAGATCAGTGCGGGCTCAGCCTCGGCGGAATAACCCTGGAATCGATGGAATCAACGGAGATCGGTGTGGGCTCAGCCTCGGTGGAATAACCCTGGAATCGACA